AGCAGCAGCGTCACTGCACTGTGTGGTAAATTGCACCGGCATCGAAACTGAGATGATAGTTTTGCTAACCTTTTTTTCGGTGTCTCCAGCTGCAGTCGACTCTTGTCTTGCAAATGGCCTTAAACGTCGGGCGCTTGGACTGTTCAAGACCAACTCCACGACGGCTCTCCTTCAAAAGGTGGCTAAAAACTGCGATTCAGCAGCAATGGTGCTAAAAAAGGTGACAGAGATTGAAAACAGCGACCCAAACAAGTAAGTCAAAAAGCAACCCTCTAAGGCTGGACAAACTGCAACTAGCCTTTGTAATTGTGACAGACGATCCTCATCGAGCAGTGACAGCCTGACCAGGACTCGAATGTCCTTCAAGATCAAGTCTGCAAACAGTACCAGTGTGAACAACAGCGGAACGAGTTGCCCTGCAACGCCCGGTGCTAAAGTGGTGGTTCGCTACCTTTGGATTCGCGTGGCGCTGCTCACCAAGCAGCTGGCCAACATTGTGGATCACGTGGTGCAGAACAGCTGCAAGTACTACGAGAAGGATGCACTGGTGTCGGATCCGGTGGCAGGACAGATACTGGCCTCGCTGCTCGTCGGCCCCTGCTTCCTCGACTACACCAAGATGAAGACCAATGACCAGTTCTGGTCGGACCCACCGGCGGACNTCGCTACCTTTGGATTCGCGTGGCGCTGCTCACCAAGCAGCTGGCCAACATTGTGGATCACGTGGTGCAGAACAGCTGCAAGTACTACGAGAAAGATGCACTTGTGTCGGATCCGGTGGCAGGACAGATACTGGCCTCGCTGCTCGTCGGCCCCTGCTTCCTCGACTACACCAAGATGAAGACCAATGACCAGTTCTGGTCGGACCCACCGGCGGACGAACTGGTGCAGCGCCACCGAATCTCCTCCTCAATGGTCAGCAGCAACTCGACCGCCGTTCCGGGGGCGGCGGGAATCTGCAGCACCTCCACTCCGCCGACTGCCCGCAAGCCGCTGGGCATGTCCTACCGGCGGCCGATCTCCATTGCCAACCAGGTCAATGGCGAGGACTCCGACCAGGCGACCAGCAGCAGCTCGCCCAACTCTGTACGGCACACTGCCGTGTGCTGGTCACCGCGAGACTACGTTGAATCGCTCCATCAAAACTCTCGCTCCACCCTTCTCTACGGAAAGAACAATGTCATCATTCAGCCAGTATGTTGTGTGCTTGCTGTACACCTACTAACCGGTCGCTCCTCCTCCTCCTCCTCTTCTCCTTACCTGACAGAAGGATGATTTAGAGCCAATGCCGGGCTACCTGTCACTGCACGCCGAGCCCTATGGGCTAATCATCAAATGGACTCCCAATCAGCTGATTAATGGCCGCCCAAGTCAGAACTCGGCGGAGAGTAGTGACTCCATCTTTAGCCATTCCTCGGTGGACAAGAGGTAAGAGTGAGCTGAAAGTAATGTAATGATGACTTCTGACATTTCGTCCACTTTGTTCCAGTAGTGGTGGGAGTGCGTTTTGGAATCATGCCCTCAATGTGAGCGTCGAATCAATCGTCTACTTGCACTGTCACCAGCAGAAGCACAGCTGTGGCTCCATTGTCATGGTCGGTCGGGATGGAGTCATGCACCCGCCCATAAAGTTCCCCAAGGGCGGCCACCTTCTGTCCTTTCTCTCCTGTCTGGAGACCGGTCTTCAGCCATATGGACAACTTGATCCGCCATTGTGGTCACAAAAGGGAAAAGGTATTGCTGCTATTTCCTGCTATCAGCTTGAAGTGCTACCATGAATGCTTTATTTTTTGTTTGTAGGCAAAGTATTTCCCAAGCTGCGACGCAAGGGACAATCACCTTCACCCCAGTGCAGCGAAGGTGAAGACTGCGTGGAGGAGTGCGAGGATGTGGCCAGTGATTACGTCTTTCGAGTCATTTCGATGCTCGACAAACCAGAGACTATCAGTAAGCTAGATCTCTCAGTGAGTAGATTGAAAGTTGTAAAACCTTCTTTCCCAGGTCCTGAAATGATGAACCCGAAGGCGGTCACCTTTGCCGATGAGCATGAGAAGGACGTCTCGAACAGTCGAGCCCTGGCCAATGGAACACTGGCCACACTGGGCTCAAGTGATTCGACCACCACCGAGCCACTGACAAATGGCAGTCAGAATGGCCACCTCTCCTCCTCTTCGCTGATGGACGAGAAGCAGCACATTCAGATTCTCTGTGATACGATGAAGAAACAAATAATATCACGAGCGTTTTACGGATGGCTCGCCTACTGTCGCCACCTGAAGACGGTGCGAACGCATCTCACTGACCTCGTCAATCAGACCATTGTCCGTCCCGACGCCCCGGCCGACGCCACCGGAGGGATCACCGCCGCTCGGTGGACGGAAATTCGCAACCCCAGTGGGCAGATTATCATCGAGCCAGCCGAGTTCTACAGGCTGGTGTACTACGGCGGCGTTGAGCCCACCATTCGCGCACAAGTGTGGCCGTACCTGCTGGAGCACTACCGCTTCGGGGACACCGAGGAGATGAAGGGCAGCCATGATCGAGAGATGAGACAGTACTACGAGATGGTCATGTCGGAGTGGCTGGCAGTGGAGGCCATTGTCCGACAGCGAGACAAGGAGATGCTGGCCGCCAATCTGGCAAAGCTAAGCTCGGAGAGCAACAACAGCACCTCGGAGATGCCCTTCTCCCTGGAGAAGACGCTGGAGAAGACGATGCTGAGCAAGGAGGTCAAATCGCAGAGCAATGAGGTCTTTGAGGACAATGACGACTTTAGCATGACTGACAGTCGCAAGTCGTCGGTGCAGAGCGAGAAGGAGCCGGCAAGTGTCGGTGCGGAGGCGGCCGGCGAGAATCAAGGCGAGCAATCGACTTCGAACAACAGCAAGGCGGCCCACGCACATGTGGGCCCTCTTCGGAAGCAGCTAATGCGACACCGACAGGTGGAGAGTGTGGCCAGTCTGAGTGGGCAGACCAGCTCGGGTGGCAGTCTGCAGAACATTCTCATCACCAACCCGTCCATTGATCAGAATCCAAACAACAGCAGCAGCACCAGCGGCAACTCCAGTGAGTTGCAGCAGGAGCTTCTGCAGAGGCAGCTCGAGTGTCTGAGCGGTCTTCAAGTGGACGAGGACGCGTCGCACCTTCCCGTCGACAATGGCTCTAGCTGCGTCTCGCCGGCCTCATCTAATGGAGGAATTTACTCGGTAAGTTAATAGAATAATTTCATCGCCGATTCTACTTCTTACTACCTTATTTCATAGGCTGAAACGCTGGACCAGTTTTCCATAAACCTGCACCGAATTGACAAGGACGTGCAACGGTGCGATCGCAACTTCTGGTACTTTACGACGGAGAACCTGGAGAAGCTGCGCAACGTCATGTGCACCTACGTGTGGAAGAACATGGAAATGGGTTATGTTCAGGGAATGTGCGATCTGGTGGCGCCGCTTTTGGTCATCTTTAATGATGGTACGCCCACCTTCATGCCCTTGCCTTTGATCTCTTGACTTGACAGGCTGTTTATTTCCGTAGAGGTGTTTACCTACAGCTGTTTTTGCGAGCTGATGAAGCGCATGAAGCACAACTTTCCGCTCGGCGGGGCCATGGACACTCACTTTGCCAATATGCGCTCTCTAGTGCAAATTCTTGACGTGGACATTTTCGAGTTGATGCAGCGAAAGGGCGACTACACGCACTTTTACTTTTGCTATCGCTGGTTTTTGTTGGACTTTAAACGAGGTTCGTTTGAGTTGACCTGAACTGGACTTATGCTTACTCGATTTTTCCCTTTGTGTAGAACTTGTTTACGCCGACGTCTTTTCAGTCTGGGAGACCATCTGGGCGGCAAAGCACGTTTCTTCGGCCAGTTTTGTACTCTTTATCGCTCTGGCTCTCGTTGAGTACTACCGAGAAATTATCATTGACAACAAAATGGACTTTACAGACATTATCAAATTTTTCAATGGTAAGCATCAATGAAACAGACATGTGAAATGCTGACTTAAACTTCTTTTTTGCAGAAATGGCCGAGCGACACGATGCCAAGGCGGTTTTGCAAATTGCACGAGACCTTGTGCTTCAGGTGCAGACGCAAATTGAAAACAAGTGATCCATTTAGTCCGCCACTTTTTTGTTTTATCATTTGATGTCCTATTCCTTGTTGTTGGTTTTCAGGTTTATGCGTCTGTTGAACACTGTTGAACTTTAGAGTGATGCTTGAAATGTTTATGTCATGTTTTCCAAAAAAGAAAAAATAAACCATAAAAGTTGCTTATTTTCAAAGTGTTTTTATTAAGTGATGAAAAAAGTTGACGCAAAAATTAGTCAAAGAGACCGAATCCCATGTCATCGTCCTCCTCCTCGGATTCTTCCTTCTTCTCCTCCTTTTTGCCTCCCTTCTTGTCGTCACCAGCGGCCGGTGCGGCAGCGGCGGACGCCGCAGCCGGAGCAGCAGCACCACCTCCTGATGGAACTGAGGCCAGCTTCTCAGAGCCTAGGTAACAAAATGTGGCATAAGTATTTGCAATAGCATTTTACGAGTGACCAGTACTTACCCTTGGTGATCAGCTCATCGATGGACTTGCCCTTAAGCTCGGCAATTACCTTGTCGAGCTTGGCGCCGTCAACCTCGATGCCGACGCTGCTGAGGANTACCCTTGGTGATCAGCTCATCGATGGACTTGCCCTTAAGCTCGGCAATTACCTTGTCGAGCTTGGCGCCGTCAACCTCGATGCCGACGCTGCTGAGGACCTTGCTGATGTCGTCCTTCGATGGGCTCTTGTTACCTCCGAGGGTAGCCAACAGGTAAGCGGCAACGTAACGCATTTTTAAGTCGTTGAGGGACACGAAACGTTTGGGCCACAAATGGGAAAAGGTATGATCGAGACGTTGACGAGATGCAGCGGCAAGCACGTGCAGGGTGAAGAGGAAGAGTTTGTGGTCAGTGCGCTGCTGAGTTCCGACGCTGCTGCTGCCGGTCGCAGATGCTGTGACCAGAGCACGTACTCTGTGGACGTGATTGAGATCCGTTTTTTTTGTATCTGAGCCCGACCCAGCTCCCTAGCACGGACACCACCATCTCTGGACTTGTCGCGAGGATGAAGTACCGACTCGTCTCCCGACGAAAGTACTTCTACAACTGTTCCGTATGTGCACTAGTGTACATCACCGCAAAAGCCCTCAAGGCCCACTACGCCGCTGTACATCCCAACCTGAAGTGTGAAGTCGAAGAACTAGCCACAGGTAAGGCTGCCTGCCACCAAATGTAAACACTGAGTTTGACACTTCTCCACTTTCACTTCAGAACCAATGGACGAGGATGAGAGGTTTGAAGAGTTCTGCGAGAACACCTCCAGCAACTACCTGACAAAGGAGGAGGCACGATCTGCCGATCTATTCTCTCTGCCAAAAGCGCAGGTGATCACTGTGTCACCCGAACTGTCAACTTCAGCTGCCGCCTCAGTGCAAGGCAACACAATGCAGCTCAATGAAGTGGTCGACTATGTCCCCGCCAACCGACTGATCACATTGACGGCGCCAATTGACCCATCTACTGTCAGCTTTCACCCACAACAGTTTCAATTGGCAACAACAGGCAGTAATATGACTCCAATCTACATCAAATTGGAGTCAAATGAAATCCTGCAGCACAATGGCCAAATACCCAAACAAGCGACCATAATTACTGACGCTCAAGTTCAGCACCCTGTGATAATTGAACAACACCCATTATCTCATCAGGGCGTTGATCCATCTTTGTTGCAGCTACAGCAGGAGCAGCAGCCTCAGCAAAAGCAACGTAAAAAGAAACCTAAAAAGGTGGCCGCTACCATTTCTATTGAAAATGTCAACGACGATAATGAAGACTCGAATCTTCAAAAGAATCCGAAAAAGTACAGTTGTGAACCTTGTAGCAAATACTTCTCGACCATTTACAACAAAAGAAGACACGATGACATGTTTCACAAAAATAAGGTTGAGACTGCATCCGAGTTTAAGTGTTCATCATGCGATAAGGTGTTTACTTCGATCTACAACAAAACTCGGCACGAAAACGTTCACAAGCCCATCAACGAGCGCTTAAAATACAAGTGCATTATCAACGAGTGTAACAGAGGTTTCACCACTCAGTTTATCCTGAAAATGCATATAAAGAAGGTGCATCACATGGATGTCAATTTCTGAACAGTATGTTTTCATCAAAGCTTCTAATGTTCTCAGCATTGTTTGCATCAGCGTGTTTATTCAATAGGCACTGACTCAATTCATCTGGTATTGTTTCGTTAGAAACATTTTTATATTTTTATTTTTTGTACAGTTTTTCATTTATTGTAAATCCTCATTTATCGACTGTATTTTGTACTTATTCACCACTTTCACTACTTTACTCATTTCCACTGCTATTTACCAGTGTTTTCCTTCTAGCCTGCTAAGCTCGCGTTTGCTTATCTCACTCGAAGTAAAATTAATTTTTTATTTTCTCAATAAAGCCTACGCTGGGTAGCATAAGCCTTCTTTCTTTTGTATTTACTTCTAAATATAAATTGTACTAATCAATGGGAGGAACTGTCAAAAGTAGGAGAGGCAGCTGTGGAAGAGTTTGAAGCTGCTGAGGATGAGGCAAGTGATGAAGACGGCTTCGCTGTTGGCCTCAGTGTGATGCGCAAGTCCCTGAAGGGCAGGTCAGAGGTGCTGGCTGAACGGCAGAGAATTTGCCCTTGCCAAAAGTCCTCTTCTGAGGGGAGTTTGCTGCCGAGGCGGTAGTCCTTGCGAAGGGTGCGAAATGCCAGGTCATCGAGAGTAATGTCGGGAACTGGCTCCCGAAGTCGGTATCGCAGTTGTTGACTGCTCAAGGCAGGATCAGGTACCCTCAGGTAGTCGGACTGGGGAAAGGTGTGAATGAAGCAGTTTGTGGGTGAGTTGGGAATGCCAAAGGGCGGCTGAGGCGGGCAGACTTGGGCCGCCGGTGACTGGCGAATAGTTCGGTTGAAGGCATCATCCACGACTAGATCAGGCAGTCTGCTGTTGCTGTTCGGGTGCTGCAGAGGACAGCCTTCATCGGCGGTGTGCAGCCCATCACAGTGGAGGCACTCTGTCCGGTTGACTGCAGCAGCAGTGGGGTAGTCATCGTAGGTGACCAGTGACAGGTAGCTTTTTGCCGGCGTCATCGTTGTCGAGTTGTCCCTCCCAACAATAGGTCTCCGTCTGATGTCCCCACCAGCACTGCTGTTCCGTGCCTTCCTGGTGCGCAGTTCACTGCCCTGGTTGTACAGTCGATAGGCATAGTCATCGTACAGTGTGTCCGGTACTGCTGATCGGCGATTCGGTACGGCCCGGTTCCGGTGCCGGCTGTAATGAACTGTTAGTTGGCATAGCACAGTTGTGAATAAATCAAATAGCTACCTCTCTGAAGCAGCAGCATTGATGCCTTCCGGTAAGTCGACATTCAAAGTGCGCGACTGATCGGCAGTCTGTCGTTGTCTGTGAGCTGCCAACTGCACACTGGCAGGAAGGTCTCGTCTTTCCGCCCGGTCCAGCAGCTCTTCGTCTTCATTTAGTCTCAGCTGTCCGAAAAGGTCTTCGAAGTCGTCAAAGTCATCGCGCCGTTTATAGCGATATTGAAGTTCATTCTCCTGTACGAACCGCCTGAGATCTTGCTTTGCCGCATCCGGTCGGGCTGGTCGAACGACACAGGCCTTCGGGTTACGTGTGTTGACCATCTGCCAGCGGTATCGCACTTTGGCCACGTTTCCATCAGTGTTGCGGGCACTATTTGACATGGCATTTAACTGAAAAAAAATGAAGCACTGGTGTGCTTGACTAGGAGTTGCTCAACTGCAAGTGTCAGTTTAGCCCTGCATTTGGGCCAAGGTTCGGATGAACATTACTGGCAGTGGTGGTAGTTGGGGTAGTAGTGTAAGCACAGCCCAAAAATGTAGGCAGGCTTCTCGTTAATCGGCACACAAATGGGCAACCTTTGATCTCGGTTCTGCTTGCAAGGGGCAAAGTTTAGTGCGCCTAAAGGTGAAGGGCAAAAGTGTTGGTAGCCTGAGAGATGCAGCTGCGACAAGCCGTGATTAGAGGTGTCTGGGTGGAGTTCGGCATGCACTGGTAAATGGCAGGGCAATAAAAGTCAGCTAGGTTGAGTCCACTGTTTGATCAAGCACTGTAGTACATTCGGCTCGTGGTAGCAAAAACAAGAAGAAAAACAGCAGCGGCTGCTCGGCAAAAGAGAACAAGACGACTAGCCGAATGCGGATGCTGTGCGAATCATGGTCAACAGGCGTCACAAACAAAAGTGAAAGTGAAGAAGAGAGCAAAGTGTGTGTGTGTGTGTTTGTGCGTGTAGTGGTGTCTGTCTGTTTGAAGCACGGCTGCACGAGCAACTGTCTACTGCTGCTACTGCTGCTAACCGTTCACAAGCTGGCAATCGAAGACTGCTGCTGGTGATGATGATTGCGCGCCAATGAAATGGAGAAGCTGCAGTAGTGGCTGCAGTAGTAGATGTAGTGTGCCGTCTGAAGTGATATCGATGCTGACTGCAGCAGAAGACGGTGAGGGGGAGGACAGGTGCCGGTGGTGATTGCGGCGGAGGTCAGTCCAGTGATGTCCTCGTGCTGCCCGTCGAGAGCGAGAGAGCATGACTTGTCGTCTCCCGGACTGCCACCACCAATGCAGATGGCCTGAACAAGAACAGCTTCACCACTTTCACCGAAGTCACTGGAACAGTGCACCACTTGCTGACATCGGAGTAGAGACGGTGGTGAATGGAAAGTGGATTGAGTGAGCCACCACACAGACAGGCACTCTTCGATGACTTGCCACTCTGCAAGGGTGATTGCTGCTGACAGGCACTGTAGTGAGGCGTTTCCATACTGGTAGTGCAGCTAGGTGCACCACTCACAGGACATCATATGTCAATCTCAATAATAGAGATGGGCAGGCAAGTTGATCGCATGCCCAAGGCAAGTCGACCGTCCATCGATGGCCGCCTTGTCTGTCAATAGTGTCCATTATCATCGAGAGCCATCGTCGTCCACTCTTTCATTAATGACATTAATATTAATGAGCTTTTAGTGCAGACTTTCGGTAGAATCGAGGCATCCTCTTTAAGACATGTCAGTTACGTGTAATTTATATTTCTCGCACAAAATACAAGTTCTTTCAGAACTGCGCCTTTCTAGGGGCGACAAAAAATCCAGAGAGAACAGTAACTCAAAATGAGCAATTCGAAGCTGATTCGAGGCTTACTGAAGCCTGGACTGGGCCAGGACTCGTCGGTAAACCACTTGTAGAGACCCAATCAAGCAACAGCACTAAATCGAACTTCAGTGGCAGCCGTACAATGGCTGATGCACTGGCTCACTGCCGTTCAATCACCCGTCACATACACACACACATTGGCGCCCCAGTGCTGCGGCTGCAGTTCGAAGCCCTCTGTGGCACGGTAATTGCCGCAGTCGCTTCAGGTGAGAGAGAATGAGAGAAAGAGCGGGGATGATGGTTCGCCAGTCTGCAGGCGCACTGTCAGTGGTGTGTGTGTGTGT